CAGGTACCTTGCACGCCACGTAACACGGGTATATATTGCACGCGCGTAGTTCTCTTTTCGACTTCTTTAGTTCCTTCATTTTTTTCTTCTCTCTCTCTCTCTCTCTCTCTCTCTCTCTCTCTCTCTTTTTTTCCGTCAAACCATCTTCCCTCAACTTTTTCTACGATCATCAACGGAATCCATAATTTACGATCGATCGATCTTTCACTTCCATCCTTTGTAAGTAAGCTTATAAACCAAAATTATTACGTAGAGGGTTACTTAGATTGTCAAAGAATTTGATCTTTGTGATCTTTTACAATTCGAAAAATCCTTTTCCTTCTTATATCCAACAGAGATCAAAGATTAAGTTTAATCCAGGTATTGGAGAATTTTAAAACCTGATTGATTGAATGGATAGATCAAGAGGGAAGGGATTGGAAGAAAGAGAGAGAGAGAGGGCAGGGAAAAGAGACCGGAGACCCGTCTTCCTTCTAATATTTTATGAACGAACGAATGACCCTAATGTACGAATGAACAATGACTCTTTGGTAAGATTCTTCGGATAGAAATTCGTAAGGCGAATAGAATTCCATTACGAAGGAAAATGTAAATATAATTGTAGCGTGCTGACATAACGGTAAGATAATCCGTCGAGCGGAGGCGCTGCCTCCGCAATAAATCGTAATTTATGATCCCTATATGGCCGGCGGTATCGTTGAGAAATTCAAGACCGAGAGACTTCTGTCTCTCTACCTCTTTTTCTCTTTTTCTTTCTATTTTCTTCTTCTTTTTCTTCTTCTTCTTCTTCTTCTTCTTCTTCTTCTTCTTTCTTCTTCGTTTCTCCGCCTCTCGAAGAACGGCAAAAGACGTAGAAGAATCGGACTCCGTAAGCAATGGGGTTCGGTTTTGGTTCGGTAAAAATGATGTTCTTCTATTCGACTATACTTTACGTCTCCTTCTTTTTCCATTCCTTCTCTCTTTTTCTATTTATATCTATCTATCCATCCATCTATATATCTCTTTCTCTCACTTTCTCTATCATTCTATCGTCTATGATTCCTTTTTTAGATATTATTTTATTATTCCAACGATGAGACAGACACGTTTAGTTATTTCCTCCGTTTCTCCATATATTCTCCATTTATATATATATATATACATCTTTCGTGCGTGTATATATATATATATATATATATATATATATATATATATATATGGTATTGAAAGTACCAATAAATTAATTGACGAGATTTACGTATCTCGGTTGTAAAGCAGTCAACGACTGCTAATGCCCGGCTACTAATTACATAATAATTATATGGCGTTACGTTACGACGACCAATTAATACGTACGTAAGTCATCTCGTGCCGATTCTTCTTCTTCTTTTTCTTCTTCTTCGAAAAGAGAGAAAGAGAGAGAGAGAGAGAGAGGAATAGGGAGGATATGGAAAATAGCACGGAAGAGTTGATTTATTGTTCTTCGAACGTAAACTTTGTAAGTCCAAAGACACAAACGAATAAGAAAAGTGTTCTCCAACTTTAATTTTATTTCGAATCAATCGTATTTTTTCCATTTCTTTTCCTCTTTCTTTCTTTTTTTTTTTGTTCTTCTTTTTGTCTTTTTATTCCTCTCATTTATCTTCTACGACCATACATTACAACGTGATGAATTAATTATCTAAGTATCTATTATATTTCTCTCTCTGTCTCTCTCTCTCTCTCTCTCTCTCTCTCTCTCTTTCTCTCTCTCTCTCATTCTCATTCACTCTTTCTCTTTCTATCTGTTTCTCTTTCTCTGTCTTTCTCTGGCTTTCATACGAGATCAAAGCGCCATGAACCGGAGACTTGTGAGCGTGTGTATGTGTGTGTGTGTGTGTGTGTGTGTGTGTATGTATGTGTGTTTGTGTTTGTGTGTCGGAGTAGAGCGCGTGCTCGGTGCATCCGAGGCGGCGCGAGAGAAACGCGATTATAATTTATTGTCTTGCTTCGAGGATGACGGCGGGCGCGCGCCGGTTATCCTTCTTCACGTCGGAGAATTAGGACTGACGTTTAGATCCTCCTCAGTCTCTCTTTCTCTCTTACTATCTTTCTATCTTTCCTCTCTCTTTCTCTCTCTCTCTCTCTCTCTCTCTCTTTCTCTTTCTCTTTCTCTTTCCTCTCTCGCACAGACACACAGACACACACACTTTCTCTTCCTTCCTTCCTCACGTTCGAAAATCATTTTACTTCTTCATCGTTTCACAATCGTTTAAATCTTTTTCCCAATAGACTCAATCATCGTTTCGAAATTCACAGTTTCGAATTGAAGTTCACGATCGAAGGGATCGATCGATCGATCAATCAAGTACCGCCTTAGAAATTTTCTTCGACTGCTCGAACAGTAGAAGGAAACGGCATGCTCGTACGTTCGTAGGAACGATGAAAGTATTAGATGCGGGCAACTGATTTATTTTAAGGGTCCAGGTTCATCAGACATCCGGTTTGTCGAATTACTCTTTAAGAGAGCCCGTAGACACGGAGAGTGGCAGATAAAAACGGAGGCGAGAGGAGACGACGAGATGATGGACCAAAAGAGAGAGAGAGAGAGAGAGAGAGAGAGAGAGGGCCAACGAGGTGGAACGAGATCACGTAGTTTTCTATCCATCTCTCTCTCTCTCTCTCTCTCTCACTCTTTCTCTCTTTCTATCTATCTATCTATCTATCTATCTATCTATCTATCTCTCTCTCTCTCTCTCTATCTCTCGCGGTCAACATGCCCGCCCGCCCGCGCGTTCTCTTTCTCGCTCTCACGCTCGTCCGTCGACGACGCGTTAAACGTTTATCATTGCATCGACACAAGTCACGCGGTGGACCCTACTGTCCACTTAAAAAACGGCGATTCAGCGTTTAGTAGGAAGTGACGTCAGCGATGGAGGCCCACCGTAAACAGTGCCGGATAATATAAACCATACGTATGTTTGGAGATAACGTGAATCTTATCATCGTCATGACATTATCACTTTCTTCTCTTGATCATTTTCTTTATTAAACGTTCTTGATCATTCATTTTGGGAGGAAATTCTCTAATGATATATCAAATGATTTATTTCGTTGATCATTTATATAAATTTCTCTCTCTCTCTCTCTCTCTCTCTCTCTCTCTATCTCATACGCACACTCACTCACTCTCTCTGTCTCACTCGCTCTCCGTTTTGTACTCTATTTTCGTGGCTCGAGGTAGGACCAGTTGATCGGCGTATCCGCATCCGCGTGTCCTTTCGTCGGAAGGGCGTTTAGATTTTAAGCAGATGCGAGAGGGGACATGGTCAACAAAGAGAGAGAGAGAGAGAGAGAGAGAAACAGAGAAAGAGAGAGAGAGAGAGAGACAGAGAGAGATGGATAGAGATTGTGTTCGTCGATTATCGCGAAGATGACGAGCGTGACAGCATGTGGGAGTAGCTGTCAGTCATTGTTGTTCGTGCAGACGTGATACCGTCTCTCGGAGATTCTCGATCGGTGATTCTCGATCGTCTTGAAATCCTTACCCTTCGACCTCGATACTAGATCGAGAAACGTATATATATTATATATACAGGATATTGATCGTATCTACTCCTTCTTTCTTTCTCTTTTTCTTTTCTTTTTTCTTTTTATCTTTTGATTTCATCTTTATCTCTTTTTTTCTTTCTTCTTTTTTTTTTTTTCTTTTTTTGTCTTTTTATCTATTGGAACTACCATCGAGACGAATTTTTATTTCGGAAGGTCTCACGAACAGCCATCCACGACACGATTGGGAAACAAAGCGAGAGCTCGTCGCACGATCGTTATGAAGGATCATTGAGACGATGAGACTGCCGGCTCTCTCTCTCTCTCTCTCTCTCGCTCGCTCGTTCGTCAAGTTGGAGCTCTTATAATAACACTTTGGAGCATTCGTGGAGCGTCATTGAGAGCTCGAGGACTCGAAAGTGTCGGATTGGCTTAGATCAATGTGTGGCCTCTTACTCTCGTGTCGTTGAATACATTGCATCTAACAGCGCGCGCTCAGATCGCGAGCGATTTTAATCTTGGGAGGTCGATCCTTCCGCTCGTGCATCGCCGAATAGAAAATCAAAAAATTAAAAAAAAAGAAAGAAAAATATAAAGTAGAAAAGAGAGAGAGAGAGAGAGAGAGAGAGAGGAAAAAATAAAAAAAAGAAAAATTTCCTCGACTAATGGACACGTCTTATAATATTCTCGAGAAAAATTTTGTTACTTTCTTAAACGTAAATATATCGAAGGAAGAGCGTATCGTTGAACAAGTGTGTATGGTTATACCCTCTTCTACTCGTCGACCTTCGATAAAATCCGTTGATTCGTAAGATGGACGCGTACGACGACAGGGTCCTCTCGAATCACTTATGCCAGGAGCATTTTCGTGCTGAGCTACGTGTGCTCCGTCTTTAATCGAGATCGAAATCGGTCGGCTCGTATGGTCCCCATCATCAATGGCCGAACGAACATACTCCTCACGTACGAGGCGTGCGCATCTCTCTTTCTCTTTTTTTTAAGGCGCTTTCAAAAGAAAAAAAAAAAAAAAAAAGAAAAAAAATTCCTGGCACACGTTTCGAGTACCGGCGACGCGGGCGTTTTCGAAATAATTTCTTTTTCTTCTTCTTTATTCTTTACCATTTTTTTTTTTTTTTTTTTTTTCCCCCAATCGCGTACGAACCACTCACGAGTCTTGTCATTCAATCCTTTTTCCTCTCTTCTTCCTTTTCTTCTTTGATTCTTTTTTCTTTTTCTTTCTTTCTTTCTTTCTTTATCCTCCTCTCCCCCTAATCCTCCTCAACGAATATCTTTCGCTTTCATTAATTCATTCCAACGTTTCGATACATTATTTTCATGAGAACTTCGCTTTCATACGAGAAGAACTTATCGGTGGAGAATGAGGCGTGTGGTGGGAGGTGTCGAGCGAAGGGAAAAAATTTTGCACAAATTTTGAGACAATCATGGAATCTCTATATCGTTCGTTTTTTTTTTTCTTTGTTATTGCTCTACAGAGGCCGCCCTCCTCATCGCTTTCCTATCCTGGTGCGGGCGGTAACGATGATGCACGTAGTCCTGGAAGCGGTGGTACACCCGGACCACTCAGTCAACAAGCACCTACCAGTTTGGATTCCTCGGACCCCG